GGATATGTACTTATTGCCATTTTATTGTTCATAGTTCTTCTCTTCTTCTTTTTATTAAATAAGTCCTGTCAACATTTCATATAATAATGGCTCGGGGATGAAGAACTCCTTTAGTTTTTTCTGTCTAGAAGCTCTTTATCGGCCTTTTGATTCTAAATTATAGCCTTGCTGGGTAGAGCAATGTTGGCTGTAGGACCCTCCTTTATTGACTTTGAGTATTCTTGCCAATCCCTGAAAGCCTGCAAAGTTTTTTTTTTTTGAGAAATCAGTTGATGGTCTTATGGGAACTCCTTTGGAGGCAACTGCCTGCTTTTCTCTTGCTACTTTTAAGATTCTCCCTTTATATTTAACCCTTATGGCATTTTAATGATGATGTGTCTTTGACTAGGCCTCTTTGTGTCCATCTAGTTTGGGACTCTCTGTGCTTCTTGGACTGGCATGTCTATTTCCTTCACCAAATAACATAAGTTCTTTGTCATTATTTTTTCCAAATAAATTTTCAATTTTTTGCTTTTTTCTCTTCTCTTTCTGGCATCCTACATGTGAATGTGGAACATTTGAGGTTGATGCAGAGGCTGCTTAAAGTATTCTGTTTATTTCTTGATTACTTTTTCTTCTTGTTTTTTTTTTTATTTCCTTAAGATTCAAGTCACTGATTTCATTCTCAGCTCCATCCACTCTGCTTTGTTTCCCTGGAAATTGTTCTTGATTTCAGTTAGTGTACTCTTTGTTTCTGAACGGATCTTTTTTATTCTGTTGAAGTCTTTACTGGGTTCCTTGAGCAGCCTTAACCAGTATTTTGAACTCTGCATCTGACAGAGTGCTTATCTTCATTTTGTGTAATTTTATTTCTGGAGTTTAATTCTGTTCTTTGATTTGGGCCTTGTTTCTTGTCTACTCATTTTGGCAGCCTCCCTGTGTTTCTACATATTAGATAGAGCTGCTATGACTCCCTGTGTTAGTAGAGTGGCTTAATGTTATAGGTGTCCTGTAGGGTACAGTAGCACAGCTTTCCCTGTCATTCAAGCTGGGTACTTGAGGTGTGCAATTCGTGTGGGCCAAGTATAATCTCTTCTTATAGTTGAGCCTTGGTTGCTGCTGGCAGGTTAATGGGAATGATTGATGCAGGCCAGTCACCTCAAAGATTGGCTGTGACCACGTACCACCAACTGCCACCCTTTGTGGAGGATCAGCTTTGCAGGAGCAAGGAGAAGGTGCTCTGACATGGTCTGTAGCTGTCCACTGGATGCATAGGCTCTGAGGTTTCTCATGTGGTGCAGGACAAGCTTAGCCACCTCCTGTGTTCTGCCTGAAGCAACCCTGCAGGACGTATAATGCAATGTGAGATGACTACTACCTCTGCTGGGCTTGGAGCTTCCGATGCAAAGCTCATCTCTGAATCAAGTCTGGCTGCTGCTAGTGCCACTCAGCAAGAGGTACGGGGGATGGTGGCTGACTGCGGCTGGCTGTTGCTTGTTTGAGATGATTAGAAAGTTGTGGAGCATGAGGCAAGACCAGCCATTCATATGGAAAAGCCACTGTTAACAGCTTGGTGGGCCCATAAGTTGAGTGAGACAGAATGTCAGTGAATCTCTAGGGCAAGGCAAACAGTGTAAGGCAGGTTGATGGAGTCTCAGATATGGCACCCAGGTGTGAGGTCTGTGGCTTTGTGGAGAGAGGATTCAGAAAAGGGACAGTGGGCTCTGCCTGCCTTTTTGTCTGGAAGAAAACTGTTCCCCAGCTCTCACCTTGATGCCAGACACTTCAGTTTCTCCCAATATGCCACTGGTGCCTCTCCAACTGCCGACCCAGTGCTGGAGCCCAGAGGGAGTGAGCCTAAATCTGTATGTGTTTTCTTTAAGAAGAAGTTTTTGAGATTCTAGAAGTTTCTTCCCTCAACTCAATCTGCACTGATGTTTGCAGACAGAATTTATGGAGAGGTATCTTCCTGGCACTGGAACTCTGGGCTGGGGGTTGTTGGAGGTCTGGGACTCCTCAGTCCCGAGACATTCCTCTCAAATTTTTATCCCACCACATGTGGATGTGGCACCAGCCTGTTCCACATCTCCTCCCCTTACACTGGTCTGGATGGATGTGGTTTCTTTAATTCCGTAGTTTTCAGACTTCCACTCAACTCAATTTCTGAGAGATCTGAGTGATCATTGTTCTATAGTTCATTTGTAATTTTGATGTGGTTGTGAAAGGAGGAGAGCTGTGTTTACCTATGCCACCATCTTGATCTCATTGGTGATTATTATATGACAAGATTATCACAAATGTGATGTCCAGATGGTAATTTTACAAATAGTATCTTTTCTTGTATGTTTATTAATTGTGGTCTCTGATGAGAAGGAAGTTACCCTTATTCCCCACTCATTTGTTTTCTATTTGTTTATATCTCTATGGACCCATGGATTTTAACTTATTATTCTCTGAGTTATAATCCATTACTATTGTTATTCATTTTGAATCTCTAGGTGTGTTTATTGTTTCCAAGGATTCTAAATAATATCAGGGAAGTCAATGAGAGAATATATATAAAAGTAACACAGAAAGTAAAAACTAGAAAGCAAAGCCTAAATCATTGTTTACCCATTGGGATGGGTCAGGAGTGGGGCAGAAAGAATGAGGGATGGGAACAGTGTATGTGTATATGTATATGTTTATGTGTATATATATATGTATATATATATAACATGATTTTTCATCTATTTTTAATTGTTAAAACCCATCATCTTGAACAGACATTCAATTTAATTTAACACCCGAGAGTCCTTTGCAGCTTCTCCTTTTCTATGTGTGAAGTACCTTTTCTATGAGAGTGAGGAGTCACTCCCTTCTCCTCATGTTCCCTTATTTCCTAAATGTTTAGACACATGGGAAGTAGTTGAGAATCTTGAACTCATACATGACACTGTTAATGACACACTAACTACAACTTAAGACTTGTTTCTAGGGTTTCCTTTTAATGTGTGAGTCTAGACAAAATTCTGGATTCCAGAAATACTAGGGTACTTATATTATTTTCCTCTTTAGTCTAATTATGGTATTAATTTAAGATACAGTTAGGTTCTTTTGTCTTCTTGATTCTATTTTGCTTTATGGACCACCTCTTCTATATGTTTTCTAGTGGCAAAACACAACATAGTCATAACTACGCTAATGATTATACTCATCTTCATTCACTTCTGTCCACTTTCTCTGGGTGAAACACCTCACTAGTTTCTAATTTATACTTCCTGTGTTACTTTTTTGCTCAAGTGCACAGACAAATGTATATTTTATTTCTTATTAATTTTTACAAAAATTTCTTTGTTCTGAGTGCCATTTACCACATTGCTTGTTTCCATTTAACAATATATCCAGATGTTTCTCCATATTGATTCCTAGATATCTGTGTTTTTATTTTTTCACAGTTGCAAATTACTCAGTTGCATTGATGCTCTTTAGAGGTTTCTTCAGGGGTCCTAAAATGAGATATTGGTGATGAGTCTCCTGAATGCCGCTGAATTGTGTATAATAGAAGGCTAAAGTGGTCAATGTCGTGTTTTGGGTATTAAACTTTACTTAAAAATTAAAAGGGATGTAAGAAGTAATATCTGCATACAGCACAGAAAACAATTATAAAATAATAACAATGTATGATTAATAAGTTAGTAGATTGGTAACAGAATATCAAAATACAGGTAATTAATCAAAAGGAAGCAACACAAGAGAGAATGTGAAACAGGTGTATGCGAAAGTTGTAGAGAAAATATAAATTCAAATACATTATGATTACTTTAGGTGTCAATAGAGAAATAGCTCCAGAAATAACAATTGTTGCTGTACATAAAAAGAACAAAATCTAAGTTTACTTACACCATTGACAAAAGAACACGTCACTGACAATTTGGTGACAGAAAAGTCTAAAGTAATGGAAAAAATGTTATGTACAACTGCACGTGAGAAAAGGTGCATCTTTATAAGATATACTATATAATACCTATATCTATATCTATATCTATATATTATATACCTCTATGTCTACAGATATGAAGTATCAATATTAATAAGAGAAATAGATGAGGTATTAATACAGGATGCATTGCTAAAAATATCTTCTAATTTTATATGAAGTAGTATGCTTTAAGTGCATTTTTAAAAAGTCTGTCTCTCTTTGACTAAAAGTTTTGCTTTGTAGCACATGTGAATTTTCATAGTAAAATTATTCTGATCATGGGTATTGCATTCAGCCAACATGATGTCATTGAATGTGAGTTGGGAAGACATGTGCACAATGAACCTGAAAGTGACAAAAGCCAGCATAAATTCAGTTTAAAAAAAGTTACTTCATTAGTAGCAGATCATGATGCTAAATCTGTATGTCTTTATAGAACAGTATAAAAAGACATAAGGAAAAACGGACATATCTCAGTGGAGAAAAAGACAAATTCAAAGTTAAAATTGTACAACAGTTTGCAGAAGATTTTTAGATACCTTATAAAAGATGAAGAACAAGTGAAAAATATTATTTAGGAATACAGAACTATAAACAATCCAAGTAGCAAATGTGACCTCACTGACATATTAACTTCTTTAACCCAATTGACAAACATTCTAAGGCCTGCTTTATATCTCTGTTTCTCAGGGTGTAGATGAAGGGGTTCAGCATGGGGGTAACTATTGAATACATGACTGAAGCAATTATGTGTTTAGAATCCCATGATGAGGACAATAAGTAAACACCTACAAGTGTCCCATAGAATAAAGACACCACAAAAAAATGGGAGCCACAGGTAGAAAAGGCTTTCAAGAGTTTCTTAGTGGAGGGAGCCTTCAGGATGATGGTTCCTATACGAATATATGACCCAAAAATAATAGCCAAAGGCAGGACAGAAAACACTCCCCCCTCAGCAAAGAGGACCAGCTCATTGAGGGAGATGTCTGAGCAGCTGAGCTTCAGGAGCACAGTGAGGTCACAGAAGAAGTGGGTGATGACATTGTTGGCACAGAAGGACAGTCGGACCAAGAGGATGGTGTGCAAGAGGGCACTGCCAGAGGAGATGATCCAGGATCCAGCCACCAACAGTGCACACAGCCCCTCCCTCATGATGGTGGTGTAGTGTAGAGGGTGACAGATGGCCACGTACCTGTCATATGCCATGACTGCCAGAAGGAAATTGTCAAGGCCACCGAAAAGTGTGAAAAAATGCAACTGGCAAATGCATCCCACATAGGGAATGGATGGTTGCTGTGTGTGCATATTCAGTAGCATCTTAGGGACAGTGACAGATGACAGAGAAATGTCAGAGAAGGCCAAGTGGCTGAGGAAGAAGTACATGGGCGTGTGCAGGCGGTAGTCCAGCTTTATGAGTAGGATGATGAGCAGGTTGCCCAGCACTGTGGTCAGGTACATGCCCAGGAACAGGGCAAAGAACATGCCCTGGTGCCCTGGATTGATGGGGAGCCCCAGGAGGAGAAACTCGGACATGCTGCTCTGGTTCCCAGGTCTCATGCTGCTCATCTCTCTGCTGGACATGAGGAAGGTTTGGGACTCTCAACCAGGACCATCACATCTCATACTGTAATTTTCTGGAAAAATCATGAAGTTTTATTTACAACCTTTTTAATTTTTTGTACTAGTAAATGTATGCATCTTGGCTATAACCCATCTGTTTCCAGGAAAATACTGAACCCAAAAAGCAGCCAACAGGATCTCATGGCACAGAAGCAGGAGGTGTTTACCATTTCATTTAGCCATTACTTATTGAACAGAGAGTCTGTGTCGGGACCTCTACTAAGGACTCAGATGCTACAGTGAACAAGAAAAGCAAGGTGCCCTTTTCTAGGAGTTTATAGCTCAAGGAGCATGGAGGGATAATTTGTACCCCAGTCCAGTGAATACACAATTCACTGCAGCAGAGTTGGAAGCTGAGTCCTAAAGACTGGGATCAATTGTGTGTGCCTTAAGTAAATATGAGACTCCAGTGCTGAGGAGATATTGGAACAATGTGACACTCTGCCTATGAACTTGCCAAGTCCCATTGACCTACAGCTGTAATCTCAGGGACACTGTAGGAACTGGTGGCCTTTAAAAGCCACTTGATGCCACAATAGCTCTGAAACCAGAAAAGTCCACAAACTGCCTTTTATAACAGTGCTGAATATTTTGGTGAATATTTTGGTACTGGACTGAGGACTTCACCCCTGTTCTCTAGTTATATCTACTCATCAGCCTTACATTCCCAGATAATACAACAACTTCACAGCTGCAGTAAGAATTTGTGGTCTTTCAACTATTTCAGCTTTTAAGAAATAGAAACAAGCCCTGGCTGGTGTAGCTCAGTGGATTGAGCACAGGCCTGGAACCAGAGGATCTCAGTTCAATTCCAAGTCAGGGCACATGCCTTGGTTGCAGGCCAGCTCCCAGCAGAAGGGGACATATGAGAAGCAACCATGCATTAGTATTTTTCTCCCTCTCTCCTTCCCTACCCCTCTAAAGAAAAATTAATTAATTAATTAATCGATAAAAGAAATAGAAACATAAGTGATAATAACTCTTTGGGCACCGAGCAGTACTGTGGGGAGCAGAATGGTACACAGACGTGTGTATCTGTGTTTATATTTTATGAGATATTTAATATATAAATGACATATTTGTTATTATTTTCTATACATGACAATTACCATGTATTAGCTGCTTCATGGGGCTCAGTGTAATACATCCTTGGAATCAGCATCCATGCTCTAAACCACTTCACATGGAAACTTCACATTTTGGCTGTGGAACCCAGGACGATATATTATTTTAGAGCTGTAAGGACTCACATTGGTCAAAATTTTCTCAGTCTTCTTACTAATTTTGTTCCTTCACATTTATATACATTGCAAGTGAGAAAAATTCTCCAGTACATACAAATTTTTATACAATAAGCAATTACTGCAGGCCTCTGTAACATTCAGAAGGAAGTGTAATTCTTTCCATTTTATAGATGTAAACTGAGGCCAAGGATTTAAATAACTTTCCATGGTCACCACTATTTGAAGGTCATTCTGCCCAATAACTCCTCACAGCTGGATGCCTGGCTTTTCTTTTGCCTGGGATATTTAGTAAAAATAAAGAGTTGCAAATTCTGATTTGCAATTCAGTCATACTCAGGTACATGAATATGACAGCAGGTCCGTTTCCAGACACAGGACGTTTGGAGTTGGGTTCTCTCTGCTAATGGTGCCCCAGAATTAGGACACTTAAGAAAAATTGAGGTTGTCGATGCACATCACACACACACAGTGCTGATTTGTGAATATTACTTACCTGTTACCAAGTTGCCACCCTAAGGGAAGAAGATCTCATAAACATACATGCATATACATAGAGGTCATCAAAAACCCACAAATGAGACATACACAAAACACACTGATGGACAAATCACCTGCAAACACACTCACAATGCACATAAACACACCTGACTCATGACACACCTAGTAAACAGCTCACCACATATACACTAACACTACACATACATCACATAAAACACAGAAGGCCACAGGAAAAAATCTAACAAGAAACACACACAAACAGCTCACATGCACACCTAGGAACACACTCACCACACAAGCAGCAGGCACCCTCCTATTAAAAATGAGGGCATGCACAGCGAACAGGCAGGAAAAGGAAATAAAAGGCATCCAAATAGGAAAGGAGGAAACAAAACTGTCGCTGTTTGCAGATGACATGATAGTGTACATGGAAAATCCTATAGACTCTACAAAAAACTGCTCAAACTAATTAATGAATTTGGCAAAACAGCAGGATACAAAGTCAATATCCAGAAATGAAAAGCATTTTTGTATACTAACAATGAATCAGCAGAAGCAGAAATCAAGGAGAAAATCCCATTTGATATAGCAAAAAGAAAAATAAAATATCTGGGAATAAACTTAACCAAGGAGGTAAAAGACCTGTGTGCAGAAAACTACACAGCACTGAAGGAAGAAATCAGGGAAGACACAAACAAATGGAAACATATACCTTGTTCATGGATTGGAAGAATTAACATCATCAAATGTCCATACTACCCAAAGCAATATACAGATTCAATGCAATACCTATTAAAGTACCAATGGCATATTTCAAAGACATAGAACAGACACTTCAAAAATTTATATGGAATCATAAATGAGCCCGAATAGCAGCTGCTAGTTTGAGAAAGAAGAACAAAGTAGGAGGGATCACAATACCTGATATCAAACTGTATTACAAGGCCACTGTAATCAAAACAGCCTGGTACTGGCATAAAAACAGGCACATAGACCAATGGAACAGAACAGAGAGCCCAGAAATCAACCCAACTCTCTACAGTCAATTAATATTCAACAAAGGGGGCAGTAACTTAAAATGGAGTAAAGATAGCCTCTTCAACAAATGGTGTTGGGAGAACTGGACAGCTATGTGCAAAAAAATAAATAAATAAATAAATAAAGAATGAAACTCGAGCACCAACTTACACCATACACCAAAATAAATTCAAGGCGGATAAAAGACAAATATAAGCCATGACACCATTAAAGTCCTAGAGGAGAACATTGGCAAGAAAATCTCAGATATTCCACGCAGCAATATTTTTACCGATATGTCCCCTAGAGCAAGGAATATAAAGAATAAACAAATGGGATCTCATCAAAATTAAAAGCTTTTGAGTGGCTAAAGAAAACAGTATTAAATTAAAAAGACAACCAACTGTATGGGAAAACATATTTGCCAATGATACCTCAGACAAAGGTTTAATCCCCAAAATATACAAAGAACTTACACGACTCCACTCTAGGAAGACATCTAACCCAATTAAAAAATGGGAAAAGGACTTGAACAGACACTTCTCCAAGGAGGACATACAGAGCATCCAGAGACACATGAAGAGATGCTCAATATCGTTAGCTATCAGAGAGATGCAAATTAAAACCACAATGAGATACCACTTTACACCAGTCAGGATGGCTGTCATAAACAAAGCAACAAATGTTGGAGAGGTTGTGGGGAAAAGGGGTCCTTAGTTCACTGTTGGTAGGATTGCAGACTGGTACAACCATTATAGAAAACAGTATGGAATTTCCTCAGAAAAATAAAAATCGACCTGCCTTTTGACCCAGCAATTCCACTGCTAGGATTATATCCCAAGAATCCTAAAACATCAATTTCAAAGTACCTATGCACCACAATGTTCATAGCAGCACAATTTACAATAGCCAAGAGTTGGAAGCAACCTAGGTGCCCGTCAGTAAATGAATGGATCCAAAAATTGTGGTACATATACACAATGGAATTCTGTGCAGCAGAGAGAAAGAAGGAGCTCCTACCCTTTGCAACAACATGGATGGAACTGGAAAGCATTATGCTGAGTGAAATAGGCCAGGGGTTGAAAGACAAATATCATATGATCTCACCTTTAACAGGAAGCTAAACAACAAAACAAACAAGCAAACAGAATAAAAACAAAGACGCTGAAATAGAGAACAAGTGGGCAGCGACCAGAGGGGAGAGGGAAGGGAATTTAAGGGGAAAAATGGGGAGGTATTTTGAGGAACAAGTATGAAAGACACAGGGATGAGGACGGGGGTGGGGGGGTGGGAGGGAGGTGGGGAGACAGGGCGGGGGGGCTGGGATGGGAGAAATATACAAAAAACTGTACTTGAAAAATAACTAAATAAAATTTTAAAAAATGAGGGCATACTTCTGCCCTTCTGACCCATTCTCTTCCTGGAGGAAGGCCTTCAGCCTGGGGCAGGTTAGCCTATTCAGTCACAGGTGCACTCATTAAACCACCACAGCATGGTGTGCACATGGTAAACCACAATGCCATGTACATAGTCATACAATAGGCCAATATACAGAGAAAACCAAACAATACAGCTTCTTCTCTCACACACCAGTGTGTCACCCACAGACACAGCTCACATGTGCACCAGCACATGCTGCTAAGCAGAGGTGTGACCCTTCTCTGACCTAAACTTGTCTCCTCTGAGGTCAGGTATCTTCTTGTCCAGCACCAGAGCCTACAATGTCACCTCTGATGTTCAACTGTCAAGTAATTACTTACAATCACAGGCATGAATCAGGAGTTCCTAATCATAGGCAAGAGGCCGATAACTTGGTGTACATGGGCTAAAATGGGGCCAGGGTGGGTCTAACTCAGGAAGACTCAGACTCTGAGTGAGATACCTGAGTACACACATGTGCACACAAATGCAGCTATCAATCAGAATGTACACAAGCATATACAGCACCTGAAGACTCACAGAGACACATGCACAGTCATGAGCTTAGAGTCTCATCCATGAATCAACCATCCCACAGGCAGATCTGTTCACCATGCAGACATCCAGCCTCTCTGACCTGTGCTCATCTTTGGTGAGTTGGGACACCTTCTGCTCCAGACTGTTGCCCAGCTCCTCAGGTTTTCCTCAGGAGTCCTAACATCGACACAAATAGAAGAAACATCTGGTGCTTGGCACTTC